TCCTCTGCCGGGTTCAAACCCACAAACTTCCAGCCACAGGCGCAGATCCTTAGCCACAGAGCCCACCATATAGGAGTTTTTACTAGCACAAACAGGCCTTATCGCAACTGCAGAAATACGACTTCATTTTCTAATCACTTGTTAACCACTGGACAGCTAAAAAGCTGCAACTGTATTCAACAAAAACGAACATCATAACCTTATTGCGAACTAAAACAAGGCCGTAGTGGGTCACATTATACAGCTTTTAAACTGCAGCGGAAACTGAAGGCACAGGCAGAAATTACAAATAAACCACAGCAAATACCATTACAATGGATTAGGTAAGCAAGTACAATATTGCAAAACAGCATTAAGACTGATAACACCTAAACTGCACATTAGAGTTCCCTGGCGAAAACCTGGAGCCCAGGATTCAGGATGGCTATGTCTATTCTTCACAGCAGAAGTCCGAACCTGACGTCCAGGTCCCGAAACGCCATTGCCCGTCGCCATGGAGACACCCTCTTCTTCAAGTTCAATGCGAGACGCGCGTGGGCGGGAGATTTGGGAAGGAAACTTCCCCCTCCTTCCCAACACGGAGACAAGAAATCCATAGATCAGGTCCCAGATTTCACAGCGCATCAAACTCATCCCGAGCAGTACAGGCTATCATCCCTTGATGGGAGATGCACGCCATTAACTATTAGGCAGAGTCTCATATAAAGAATGACACCCATGTACGCAGATTGTTCTCAAAACAGCACAGCAGTTATTTGGGAAAACACAAACTACTTTTTTTTCCAACTTTCACTGGCCCTTCTCATGAATTTACGAAAAAAAGCGGGTCAAGACTGCCGAGACAGCCGAAGTTCGCACTTTCCAAGCTCCCACTTCGCGGCGAGTCTCGCCTCCTCAGTGCTTGACGCGACATTATTTTTTCGCTTTGAGCGGAAAACAATTACAACACAGTAAAGAAAAATAGAGAATAATAAAGATCTTATTGGACACTGACCAACGGGCAACCCAAGGAAACAGTCCCAGGTGACGGAAAACCGTACCGTGACACTTCCGAAACGTGCACGTTTCTGCACACACTACACAGCAAGGCAGAGAGTCACGCGTGGTTGACATCAACACGAGTGGATTCAGTGAAAATGACTGCGTGGTGTCACTGTTCAGACAGTTTTTGTCCTTATTTTAAGTACCCCTAACTGCATCCAAGCAGGCCTGGGGTAACTCATTGTAATTCACATGGTGACATCCTCCTTCCCCTCGCTGCTCCACGCAGATACTCACCTTCCGTGACTTCCAACACTTTGATCTGCTCCTCGGCGGCTGCCCGCACCTCTTGCACCGGGGACAATATCGCGGTCAGCGTCTCTATCAGAGCCTCCTTCAGGCCCTGCTGGACCGGGCCAGCCGCCGCCGCAGCGGAGCCGGCACCCGAAGCGTTCACGCCCGCCATTATTCCTGCCCGCACAGCCGGAGCCGCAGCACAAGTGCAGGAGAACAGAGGCTGCACCGGAGCGCGCCAATGCACGGACCGGCGGGGAGGAGGAGCTCAGGAGGGCAAGAGCGGCGTCCGGCCGCGCCTGCTCCCGGTGCGGGGCGCCTGCTCCATCTCCAGGAGCGGAGGGGCACGACAGGTTCGGAGTTCCGGGGCAGGGGTGTACCATCGTGAATAACGGAGCCTGCCTTCTTTCGGTATTAGAATTTGATGAAAGCACTTCAGCATTCCCAGCATTTTAGAGACATTCCACATGAAACTCTAGGGGTTTATTAGTACCGTACAGAAAACGAACTCCAGTTTTTTATTGTGACAGAAGTATGTATGGCCAGCAGCCATATCAATCTGCAACTCACAACTGGCAGCCCACTGAAGCTCAGCAGTTGTGAGCCTGGTCTGTACCTGGATGGGAGACCTCCTGAGAAAAACTAAGGTTGCAGTTAGTGGGGCCAGCAGGGGGCTCTCACCCTGCTATCTGTGTGGGTCCTAATGCCCCAGTATAGTGACGGGGACACTATACTGTAAAAAGGCCCATCCTTCAGATGAGACATAAAACCAAGGTCCAGACTCTCTGCGCCCTTTAAAAATCCCAGGATGTTTCTCAAAAAGAGTAGGGGTGTAAGGGTGTCCTGGCCAAATTTCCCCATTGGTCTTTCCCAATCATGGCCTCCTAATCCCCATCTCTGAACTGGCTTCATCACTCTGTTCTCCTCCCCATTGATAGCTGGTGTGTGGTGAGGGTACTAGTCA